CCCCGGCCCCCCCCGCCAAGCCCCCCTGTGGGGCCACCACGGCCACCACGGGTCACCAGGAGGCGTGGCCTGTGTGTTCATTTGCATGAGGGGGCAGGGTTTGTTGCCTCATTTGCATACAAGGGGGCGGGTCCTCGGCGGGTGCCTATATAGAGCGCGGCGCAGCACGGCCCCCGCTTTAACGCGCCAGCGACGTCCCCGCGCTCGGAGTTGAGAGGTTGGTGGCCCCAGGACTCGGTGGCTCCGACACTTGGTGGCCCCGACGTTCCCGCAGCGAGGCCAGAAGAGCCGCAGCGGTCGCCGTTCCCCTCCCAGGGCACCAAGGCGGTTCTTGTCCCCGCCGGCCCCGTCCAAGCGAGCCCTGCCATGAAAGCCATCAGCCCGGTGCGCTCCGTGCGGAGCTGCTACGAGGCCGTGTGCTGCCTCTCGGACCAGAGCTTGGCCATCGCCCGCGGCAGCAGCAACAAGAGCCCGGCGCTGGAGGAGCCCATGAACCTGCTCTACGATATGAACGACTGCTACTCGAAGCTGCGGGAGCTGGTGCCGGGCATCCCGCAGGGCACCAAGGTGAGCCAGGTGGAGATCCTCCAGCATGTCATCGACTACATCTTCGACCTGCAGATCGTGCTGGAGGAAGAGGCCAAGGGCTGCGACCCTTCCCCCGAGGGCACCCTGCTCTCCTTGAAGGTAAGGGCTGCTCCCAGGATGGGGATGGGGTTTGCCGTGCTGCGTGTGAGCGCCTACAGGGTGGTTTGATTCGGGGAGGGTCTGGGAAATGGGAATGGGAATGAGTCTCTACCCCGCCGCCGCGGTGCGCAGGCAGCGCTGACCCCGCTCCCTGCTCTCCACAGGCAGCCGGACTCGCCTCCGAACTCCGCGCCAAAGACGAGAGAAGTTTGTGTCACTAACGTCGCCTCTACCAGGTGAGTTACCCCCCTTCCACCCCCGGGTCCTCGCTCGGGGCCGCCTCGACGGGGGAGGGGGGCAGCGGCGGCGGCTCCCCCGCCCCCGGGGGGCGAAAACGCAGCCGCATCTGCTCGGAGCCAACCCGCAGCCTCAGCTCATTTTTTTTCTTCTCTCTCCCCTTTCTTTCCTTTCTTTTCTTTCTCCTCTTGGTGCCAATTAGCAAACACGCAGCGAGTGTCGGTTCCTGATTCGTTATCAGCCGGAGGTAAATAGCAGCTTCCTCTGCGGCGCCAGCCTGTCTGCGGACCTGCCTCTGAAGTGCCGGCCGAGCGACAGGGCCCTTTCTGTCCCCGTGTCCCCCCCCGCGGCCGGCCGACGGTGCGCCCCCCGCCGGGGGGGCCCTGCCTCCCGCATCCACTGGGGCTCTTCATCCTCCTCCTCCTCGGCTCCAGTTTTATCCTCCCAAGGAACTGCCAGCGCTACCCGCCCGGCTCGGAACCGCCAAGCCACCGGCATCCTCGTCCCGGCACCGAGTTCTGAGCGTCGCTAGTAAAATCCCGGCTTGTTTTTTAGGACTTAAAACCAGAACGAATATAAACAAGACACTTTTTATTTTTTTTAATCCCGATAGACTGGTGAAGATGCAGTTGTCTGTATATTTTTGGATTATAGTGATTGAATTCTTGCTAAAGGTGTGGGAGGGGAGCGGGGGGGTCGCGGGAAGGGATCGGGGTGGGGGGCACTTGCGAATCCAAACCAAACTCTCTGGGGCCGCGGCCTCGTGTATTGTGCAGCTCTATACTAGAGTATAACGTTTGTACCTTTTGCAGGAAGGTGAAGTTCTGCCGACGATGCCTTGTTACTTGCTTTATAAACTTTTTATAAAAGTTATAAAAAATTTTTACATAATAAAGAAAAAACAAAACGGTTGTTTCAAACAGCTTTGCCCTCCTTCTATCCAAACACTCTCCAGATTGGCCCGGAGAAGCAGGACAGCGCGGCCGGAGCTGCTGGGTTTGGGATGGGGGGCTGCGGGGAGCAGAGCGGCAGCCCCGGAGGCAGGAGCAGCCATGCTGAGATCCCAACTTCTAGGGTTACGTTAGGAATCTCATTAATTGTTTAATAGCTTTGAAATGTCAGTGCAGGTATGGCAGGAATTAACCCTAGGCAGCCGTCTCGGGCGGAGGTGTCTGCCAGCTATTTTGGGTGCTGCTCACCTTATCTGATGGGGAAGGAGTGAAGGCGCTATCGCCCGGAGGCAGGAGCAGCCATGCTGAGATCCCAACTTCTAGGGTTACGTTAGGAATCTCATTAATTGTTTAATAGCTTTGAAATGTCAGTGCAGGTATGGCAGGAATTAACCCTAGGCAGCCGTCTCGGGCGGAGGTGTCTGCCAGCTATTTTGGGTGCTGCTCACCTTATCTGATGGGGAAGGAGTGAAGGCGCTATCGCTATTCCTCCGTTTGCCGTGCAGGGGGAGATGGTCCTCGCCTGGATGAGCCTTGGGAGCAGCTCCCAGGCTGCCTTTCCTGGGAACGGGTGAGGGCCAGCTGGGATAGCCCAGGGGAAGGGGCACAGCTGGATGCTGCCGGGCCTGGATGTTGCTGCTTGGAGCGTTGCCTGTGCTGGAGGGGGTGGTCCTGGTGCTGCAGCCCCTTCTCTGTGCTGCCCCAGGGCAGGAATCCCTCTCTTTACCCCCATCCCATGCTGGGGGGGGTGCTTTGCCTTTGGCCTCCCAGATGCGCCTGGCTCAGCTGCGGAGCCCTGTGGCCCCGGCGCAGCTGGGCCGGATCCGGCTCCCCAGGGAAGGCTCCCGCCTGCCTGGGCAGCTCGGGGGCCTCCTGCCTGCTCGGGGCTGCCGGCCCCCACCTGGAGTGCTGGATCCTGCCGGGATCTGGATACGGGTCAACCGGACCGAATCCGCTCCTCCTGAGACCAGCACGGTGCTGGCATCTGCCCATGTCCCCAGTGGCTCTGCAGAAATGCAGGTGAGTGAGGGCTGTCCCGTGCTCTGTGCCTTGGCCCTAATGCAGTTGAAAACCTGGGATCTGGGCATCCTGTCTGCATCCAGGCGGTCGTGGGCAGAGCCAGGCCACGACCGAATCCGTATGGTGCCGAGCTCAGTCCCGGATCCCGACTCCTTGGGCAGTGGTCGTGGCTTGATGTCCTCCTGCCGCCACGGCTGGCATGGGACTGGCTCCAAGGAGAGGCCTTGGAGCTGCCCGCACTGCCAGGATGCAAGCTCCCTGTGCGGCTAATAAGCAGTGATAGTTAATAACAGTTAATAATAGCAATTAATGTTGCTCCCCTGCCGCTTCGGGCTGGCTGCGTGTGCAGGGGGGAGGCGAAGCAAATCCCTGCTCCCTGTGTGTCCACAGGGACAGCAGTGGGACATGGTGGCCCTGCGGCCAGCAGCTCCCAGGGGCTGCCGGGGCTGGCAGCGGCGGGAAGCCTTGGCACCGTCTCCCGGGAAGCCTCGCAGGGCCGGCGCCTCCGCGGCAGGCGGATCCCAGCGCGGTTCCTGGAAGCGCCGTGGCCGTTCCCAGGCCTCGGCCCCAGCAATGGGAACAGCGAGGCGGGGGGAGGAACCCGGCACGCGGCCCCCCGCCCCGGCTCGCCTTCCTGCCTGCTGTGCTGAAGCCGAGGATTTCTTTGGAAACCCTGATAAAAGGGGAAAAAAATGAACGTTGCTAAAAATAGCGCCCTTTGCCTCGGTAGCCCTGGGATTTCCCTCATGGGGCAGATTTACTGCAATGGACCCCCGTTCCCCTTCCAGCCCTCCCCAGCTGCTCCCGCCGTTTGCTCCGAATCCTCTTCCCAGGGTGGTTTCTTTTGTCTTCCAAGGGTGTCATGCTGCAAAGGGGGAAAA